TCTCTACTAAAAATACAAAAATGAGCCAGGTGTGGTGGCGCGCACCTGTAGTCCCAGCTACTCGGGAGGCTGAGGCAGGGGAATCACTTGAACCCGGGAAGTGGAGGTTGCAGTGAGCCCAGATCATGCCACCACACTCCAGTCTGGGCGTCACAGCAAGACTCCGTCTCAGAAAAAAAAAAAAAAAAAAATTGATGTGATGATGGCTGCCTGACTCTGAATATACTAAACACCACTCAATTATCACGTAACACGGATGAATTGTACAGTATGTAAACTATATCTCAATACAGCTGTTATTTAAAAAGTTCTTGCCGGGCACAGTGGCTCGCACCTATAATCCCATTGCTTTGGGAGGCCGAGGCAGGTGGATCATGATGTCAAGAGATTGAGACCATCCTGGCCAACATGGTGAAACCCCGTCTCTACTAAAAATACAAAAATTAGCTGGGCGTGGTGGCGCGTGCCTGTAATCCCAGCTTCTCAGGAGGCTGAGGTAGGAGAATCACTTGAACCCGGGAGACGGAGGTTGAAGTGAGCTGAGATTGCACCACTGCACTCCAGCCTGACAACAGAGCAAGACTCGGTCTCAAAAAAAAAAAAATTCCCCTTTGTCTGGAGCTGAGTTAAGGAGAAAAGAGAACAGGGAATAGGAGGCGGCAAGAGGTTACGGTTTCAGATGCAGTGCTCGGGGATGGTCTTATTGCAAACACGATGTTTTAATAAAGATCTGAAAGAGGAGCCAGGCGCGGTGGCTCACGGCTGTAATCCTGGCACTTTGAGAGGCCGAGGTGGGCGGGTCACTTGAGGTCAGGCCTTCAAGACCAGCCTGGCCAATATGGTGAAACCTCATCTCTACTAAAACTACAAAAATTAGCCGGGCGTGGCAGCAGGCCCCTGTATTCCCAGCTACTCGGGAGGCTGAGGGAGGAGAATCGTTGGAACCCGGGAGGTGGAGGTTACAGTGAGCTGAGATCGCACCACTGCACTCCAGCCTGGGCAACACAGCAAGACTCTGTCTCAAAAGAATAAAGATAAAATAAAAGAGAGGAGAGGGAGATTCTGACACAGAAACACAGAGACAGACACACAGGGGTCAAGGCCAGGTGATGACAGTGGCAGAGATGGGAGTGACGAAGCCACAAGCCGAGCAACACCAAGGATTGGCGGCCACCCCCAGAAGCTGGAAGAGGCAGGAAGGATCCTCCCCTGGGGCCTCCAGAGAGGGCACAGCTCTGCAGACACCTGGATTCCAGACTTCTGGCTCACAGGGACTTGCTCAATCTTAGAGGAACCACAGAACAGAAGGCACAGGCGTGGTTCTTCCTTGCTGTCAGTTTCTCGCAGGTCTGCAGAGGCCAGATGCCAAGTTCTCTGACTTACACAGGCCTTGCTTTTGGCTGAGGCTTTGATATCTGTGTCCTGCACCCTGGGATTATCTCCTCCCGGGGAGCATCCTTGGGGCCAATCATACCTGGCACCCTGCCCTTGTAGCCTTCCTGAGTCAGCACAGCTCCTGGTCCACAGGAAGTCCTCTGTAAACAGCCGGAACCACAAACATGTTGAGGTGACGTCCTCGCAAGGCGGCTGAGGGCTGCAGTGAGGCCTGTTATCTGCAGTCAGCTTTCCAACACGTAGGAAGGCAATGCAATAATTAAAAAAAAAAAAGGCCGGGCGCGGTGGCTCAAGCCTGTAATCCCAGCACTTTGGGAGGCCGAGACGGGTGGATCACGAGGTCAGGAGATCGAGACCATCCTGGCTAATACGGTGAAACCCCGTCTCTACTAAAAATACAAAAAACTAGCCGGGCGAGGTGGCGGGCGCCTGTAGTCCCAGCTACTCGGGAGGCTGAGGCAGGAGAATGGCGGGAACCCGGGAGGCGGAGCTTGCAGTGAGCTGAGATCCGGCCACTGCACTCCAGCCTGGGCGACAGAGCGAGACTCCGTCTCAAAAAAAAAAAAAAAAAAAAAAAAAAAAAAAAAGGGGGTGGGCTGGGCGCGGTGGCTCACGCCTGTAATCCCAGCACTTTGGGAGGCCAAGGCAGGCGGATCACAAGGTCACGAGATCGAGAGCATCCTCGCTAACATGGTGAATCCCCATCTCTACTAAAAAAATACAACAAATTAGCCCAGTGTGGTGGCGGGCGCCTGTAGTCCCAGCTACCAGGGAGGCTGAGGCAGGAGAATGGTGTGAACCCAGGAGTCAGAGCTTGCAGTGAACCGAGATTGCGCCATTGCACTCCAGCCTGGGTGACAGCAAGACTCCGTCTCAAAAAAAAAGGGGTGTCAGTTCTACAAGGCCAGACACTGTGTCTGTTTTGTCCTGTGTTCTCTGTGCCAAGGACACTGTCCAGCATACAGTAGTTACTCAATAAATATTTGTGAATGTTGTCTTAACCTAGAAGTTGGCTTTCCAAAGGGATTTCTTTGCTATGCACAGCATTTTATGTTTTTTCATTAATTTTTATTTAATTTTTTTTTTTGAGGTGGAGTCTCGTTCTGTTGCCCAAGCTGGAGTGCAGTGGTATGATCTTGGCTCACTGCAACTTCCGCCTCCTGGGTTCAAGCGATGCTCCCGCCTCAGACTTGATGCTGCTGCCTCAGACTCCTGAGTAGCTGGAATTACAGGCACCTACCACCACGCCCAGCTAATTTTAGTATTTTTAGTAGAGATGGGGTTTCACCATGTTGGCCAGGCTGGTCTCAAACTCCTGACCACAGGTGATCCACCTGCCTTGGCCTCCCAAAGTGCTGGAATTACAGGTGTGAGCTACCGTGCCCAGCCATATTTTTTTAATTAATTGCTCACTGTTTTTTTTTTTTTTTTTGAGACAGAGTCTTGCTCTGTCACCCAGGCTGGAATGCAGTGGTGTGTGTGATTACAGCTCACTGGATCTTTGAACTCCTGGACTCAAGCTATCAAGCCTCCTGAGCAGCTGGGCCTGCAGGCATGAGCCACCACACCCAGTTGATTTTTTTTTTTTTTTTTTTGAGACAGAGTCTTGCTCTGTTGCCCAGGCTGGAGTGCAGTGACAGGATCTCAACTCACTATAACCTCTGTCTCCCAGACTCAAGAGATTCTCCTGCCTCAGCCTCCCAAGTAGCTGGGATTACAGGCTGAGCCACTGCGCCCAGCTAAATTAAAAAAAAATTTTTTTCTGTTGAGACGGGGACTTATTACATTGCCCAGGCTGGTCTTGGAATCTTGAGCTCAAGCAATCATCCTCTCACCCCACAGCCTCCCAAAGTGCCAGGATTATGGTTACGAGCCACCACTCCTGGCAATCGCCCACATTTAAAAAATGAGAGATTGTAAGCGGGGCACAGTAGCTCACGCCTGTAATCCCAGCACTTTGGGAGGCCAAGGCAGGTAGATCACCTGTGGTGAGGAGTTCAAGACCAGCCTGGCCAACATGGTGAAACCCCGTCTCTACTAAAAATACAAAAAGTTAGCTGTGTGTGGTGGCAGGTACCTGTAGTCTCAGCTACTCGGGAGGGTGAAGCAGGAGAATTGCTTGAACCTGGAAGGCAGAGGTTGCAGCTAGCTGTGATCGTGCCACTGCACTCCATCCTGGGCGACAAAGTGAGACTCTGTCTCCAAAAAGAAAAGAAAAAGAAAAAATTAGGCGAGGTGTCATGCGTCTGTATCCCAGCTACTAGGGCAGCTGAGGTGGGAGAATCGCTTGAATTTGAGGCTGCAATGAGCATTGAGTATACCACTGCACTCCGCCTGGGTGACAAAGAAAGACTCTGTCTCTAAAAAATAAATAATTTTTAAAAAGAAAGAAAGAAAAGAAAAGATCAAAAGCGTAAATACATAAAAAAGCTCCCACGGGGGCAGTAAAGATGAGTGAGCTGATTGGATTCTGACTCTGTTTAAGAGGGAGAGTCTACAGGACTGTGGATGGATAGGATGATGAGGTGAGAACAATTAATGTGGGGTTCACCTCTCCAGCTGCTCCTCTCAACACCTGTACTCATCCTTAGGATCATTTTTCTAAATTCCCACATCCAATGCATCTACAAATCCTGTTTGTTTCTTCTTCAGAATTAATCTGGCACCTGCATATTTCTGTTCTCTCTGCTTCTTTCTTTATTTTTTGAGACGGAGTTTCACTCTTGTTGCCCGGGCTGGAGTGCAATGGCACAATCTCGGCTCACCGCAACCTCTGCCTCCTGGGTTCCAGCGATTCTCCTGCCTCAGCCTCCCAAGTAGCTGGGATGACAGGTATGCCCCAACACGCCTGGCTAATTTTGTATTTTTAGTAGAGACGGAGTTTCTCCATGTTGGTCAGGCTGGTCTCAAACCCACGATCTCAGGTGATTGGCCTGCCTCGGCCTCCCAAAGTGCTGGGATTACCGGCGTAAGCCACCGCACCCGTCCTTGTTCTCTCTGCTTCTAACCTTACTCTTCCATTGTCTGTTTCCTTTTTTTTTTTTTTTTGAGATGGACTTTCACTCTTGTCACCCAGGCTGGAGTGGAATGGTGTGTGATCTTGGCTCACCGCAACCTCTGCCCCCAGTGTTCAAGCGATTCTCTGGCCTCAGCCTCCTGAGTAGCTGGGATTACAGGCGCGCACCACCACACCCAGCTAATTTTTGTATTTTTAGTAGAGACGGGGGTTTCACCATGTTGGCCAGGCTGGTTTCAAACTTCCGACCTCTGGTAACCCATCCAGCTCGGCCTCCCAAAGTGTTGGGATTACCGGTGTGAGCCACCGCACCCGGCTTCTTTCAGGTCTTTCTTCAGATGTCACCACCTCACATTCTGGCCACCCTTCCTGAAACTGCTCCCCCTATCCATACACCGCCCTTGGCTACCGAATTTTTTTTCTCGTTAGCCTTTTTCACTATCTAATAGGTATTGCGTTTACTTATCCTGTTATTTTCTGTCTCCGTAATAACACTGTGAGGCGTACGAGGGTAAGGGCTGCAGGCTGTCTTGTCCTCAAGGTCCATGTACTATTTATTACATACGTGAATGAATGAACGACTACATTTCTTCGTTTTTTTTATTCCTCATCTACTTAGGGTTCCAGCTCCCTGTGCCCATTGGCCACGCCTCTGGAGTCTGACCACGCCTAGAAACACTGCGCATGCTCCGTCGCTAGCCAGCCCAGGCTCGGCGCAGAATCGGCAGAAACCATTCTCACTTCTAGTACCGCAGTGGGGGGGGGTTGGTGATAATTTTTTCCCGTGAAAGGTCATACGTTGCCCGTCCCGTTCCCCGAGGAATGCACTAGGAATACCGTTCCTGTGCTTGCATGAGCTATGGCACCAGCACCGACTCTGGCTTCCGGGCCTCTGTCCTGCACGGGAGCCTCTCACTAGGTCTCCCCCGGGGCTACGTTGGTGCCGTCCGGCACGGTCACGTGGGCGAGAAAATGGCGACCCCCAGACCGCACTGCGAGCGTCGCGGCAGGTGAAGCGGTGGTGGCGGAGGCGTCCGCGGGAACTGGCCGGGCCGACGGGCCCTGAGTCTCCAGAGCTCGGTGAGGCGTCCCGGAGGCGGCGATCACGGTGCGGGGCCCGGGTCTGGCGGACGGTGGCACTGGGAGCGCCTCGTTAGGGAATCTGTTCTCAGGGATTCGTTGGCTGTGGATGGGGCCGGTTAAGGGGTCTCGAGTCCCGGCGATCTCTTTCCTCTGGGATTTTTTACATGAAAGAGTGCCTGCCTCACGTCCTGAAGCTCCTATGTCGTACGGCTGGGTCTCGATGGTCCCCAGTGCCCTGCCAGCTCGCACAGGCCTGGCCTCTGTGGTTTCTGATGATCCCTCTTTAAAGGTGTCACTCTCCAGTGATGGTCACCTGTGCTTAGGTGGCTACACCGCCCTCGTCAGGCCCAGGCAGCCTTGCTGACGCCACTGTTAACCAGCGAGGGCTGCCGGCATGCCATAGCCTGCCTGTCCTGAGATGAAGCATCTCTCCAGGTTTTCAGCATCCTCCAGGTTCTCATCCTCCAGGTTCTCAGCCCTTCTCCCCTCCTTGGCAGTGTTCTTTCATCCTAAATCATTCAACAAAGCGTTGGCGGTTTAGAGCCCGACTCTGGAGCCAGACTTCCTGGATTCCTAACTCTTCACGCTGCTCCCAAGCAAGTTCCCAAGCACAGTCCCAAACTGTGCCTCAGTTTCCTCACCTGTAAAATGGGGACAATCTTAGTAACTACCTCATAGGGTAGTGATGTGGATTGAATAAATTAATGAATGTAAAGAGCATGGAGTGCCTGGCGCATAGCAAATGCTATGTAAGTGTCAGCGGCTATTGTCATGGTTATCGTTTTTATTTATCTATTTTGAGACAGGGTCTTGCTCTGTCACTTAGTCTGGAGCGCAATGGCACGATCTCAGCTCACTGCAACGTCCGCCTCTCTGGAGTTCAGGCGATTCTCCTACCTCAGCCTCCCGAGTAACTGGGATTACAGGCACCCACCACCATGCCCAGCTAATTTTTGTATTTTTAGTAGAGATGGGGTTTCACCATGTTGGTCAGCTGGTCTCGAACTCCGGAACTCAGATGATCTGTCCACCTCGGCTTCCCAAAGTGCTGGGATTACAGGTGGAGCCACCGCGCCCAGCCGGTTATTGTTTTTATTGAGTCCCTACTGCGTGCTGGTCATTGCACTAAGTGCTGGGAATACAACAGTGACCAAGATAGACTCAGTCGCAGCCTTCAGAGTTCTATTCTGATGAGGGATAAGATCAACCACAAACAACTAAACCAATAATTTCCAATATGATATCTAGGAGTCTTCGGTGCCATGGAGAAAAATAAAGTCGAGCAAGCGAAAAGAGATGAAAGACAACATTGTCCATTGTGATCAGGGAAGGCTTCCATGAGGAAGTGACATTTGAGACCCAGGAACGTGAGAGGAGCACGGGTGTTCCTGGACCAAACTGAGGGTCGGGCTGCTATTTCTCGTGGTCCAATAACAAGATGCAGATTAACTGGGGAGGAAGAGAGTTTTTATTTCTGTAACCAGTTACAGGGAGAAGGCCTGGAAAATATCGCCAGACCAACTCAAAATGACAAAGTTTTCCAGAGCTTATATACCCTCTAAGCTATACATCTACATGTAAGTGTGCATTCATTTAAAGACATAAGTGACTAACTTCTTTTAATCTATAAGATCTGAATCCTGAAGACCTTCCTTTGGAACCTCAGTAAATTTACTTAATCTGAATGGGTCAAGGTGCTGGGGTAATTGCCCTTAACTTGTCTCCTGCTAAATCATGGAGGTTTGGGGAGTTCTTCAGACACCCAGTAAAACTTGTTTAATCCTAAACGGGTCCCATTAAGAATTCCTTCATTATTGGCTGGGAGCGGTGGCTCAAGCCTGTAATTGCAGCACTTTGGGAGGCCAAGATGGGCAGATCCCCTGAGATCGGAAGTTCGAGACCAGCCTGACCAACATGGAGAAACCCCTTTTTTTTGTTGTTGTTGTTGTTGTTGTTGAGACAGAGTCTCGCTCTGCCGCCGGGGCTGGAGTGCAGTGGCCGGATCTCAGCTCACTGCAAGCTCTGCCTCCCGGGTTTACGCCATTCTCCTGCCTCAGGCTCCCGAGTAGCTGGGACTACAGGCGCCCGCCACCTCGCCTGGCTAGTTTTTTGTATTTTTAGTAGAGACGGGGTTTCACTGTGTTAGCCAGGATGGTCTCGATCTCCTGACCTCGTGATCCGCCCGTCTCAGCCTCCCAAAGTGCTGGGATTACAGGCTTGAGCCACCGCGCCCGGCCAGAGAGAAACCCCATCTCTACTAAAAATATAAAGCCATGAATATCGGGTGGGGATTGCTAGGGACATTCTGGGGGTCAGCTGTCCTTCTGGCTGCTGTGTGGAGAGCAGACAGTGGAGGTCATTTCTGATAGGCCTATAGGCGAGAGGCAGTGCAGAGACTGAGGCCCAGAGAGAGAAAGCAACTTATGGAACGCTGCACAGCTAGTGGGGGGTTGGAGCTGAGCTTTCAGCCCAGATGCTCAGGTTGGTCAGTGGGTAGGAAGTTGCCCCGCCCAGATCCTAGGAACAAGCCAACGAGCTGGTGAAGGGGGCTTCTAACCTGAGCTCTCATTTTTCTGCTGTAGGTTCTCACACGCCCGCGTCCCGAGGTTTAGCCTGAGCAGGGTTGTGGAAGGCCAGGGCCCATCACAGCACGATGGTGACGGAGCAGGAGGTGGATGCCATCGGGCGGACGCTGGTGGATCCCAAGCAGCCCCTGCAGGCCCGCTTCCGGGCGCTGTTCACGCTGCGCGGGCTCGGTGGCCCAGGCGCCATTGCCTGGATCAGCCAGGCCTTCAGTGACGATTCCGCCCTGCTCAAGCATGAGCTGGCCTACTGCCTGGGCCAGATGCAGGATGCCCGCGCCATCCCCGTGCTGGTGGACGTGCTGCAAGACACCCGTCAGGAGCCCATGGTGCGCCATGAGGCAGGTGAGCACCTGTCTGTGTCCCAGGCACCTGCTCCCTCCTGCCTGACCTCTTCATGACCCCATGTGTCCCCATTCTCAGGTGATAAATATCAGGGTGGTCAACTGCCCCATAAGGCACCACATAGTAAATACCTGCAGCTCTGCAGCCAGACAGCGATTCAGCAAAGCCAGCGTGGGTCGTCTGTCACTAAATGGCTAAGGTTGTGCGCCCAGACAATCCCAACTGGGTGGGGGGCAGGGGCAGTGGCTCAGGCCTGTAATCTTAGCCCTCTGAGAGGCCCAGGAAGGTGGATCGTTTTAACTCAGGAGTTCAAGACCATCCTGGGCAACATGGCAAAACCCTGTCTCTAGAAAAAATACAAAAATTAGCTGGGCACGGTGGTATGCACCTGTAGTCCCAGCTACTTGGGAGGCTGAGGAGGGAGAATTGCTTGAGCCTGGGTAGTCAAGGTTGCAGTGAGCCGTTCCAGCCTGGGCAACAGAGTAAGATCCTGTCTGTAAAAAAATAAAAAACAAACTTCATTTGTAAATGCTGAGATTTGAGTTTCATATAAATTCCACCCATCAGGAAGTACTATCCCTTTGATTTTTTGTTTTAAACCATTTATTTGTTTGTTTTGAGTCAGAGTCTCACTCTGTCACCCAGGCTGGGGTACTGTGGCGCCGTCTTGGTTTCCTGCAACCTCTGCCTCTCGGATTCAAGTGATTCTCCTGCCTTAGCCTCCCAAGTAGCTAGCATTACAGGTGTGTGCCACCACACCTGGGTGATTTTTGTGTTTTTAGTAGAGATGGGTTTTGTCATGTTGGCCAGGCTGGCCTTGAACTCCTGGCCTCAAGTGATCCACCTGCCTCGGCCTCCCAATGTACTGGGATTACAGGCGTGAGCCACTGCGTCCAGCCTTAGACCCTTAAAAGTGTTTTAAAAATCAGTTTTTACTCATATAAAAACAGGCGACAAGCCATAGATCCCCACTCCTAACGTATGTTAGATTTACTCCACTCATTGGACATACCTTTTTGAGCACCTACTGTATGCCAGGCTCTGTCACGTATGTGAGAGTCAAAACAGTGACAAGACAGATACAAGCCAGGCATTGTGGCTCACGCCTATGGTCCCGGCTACTTAAGAGGCTGAGGCAGAAGGATTACTTGAACCAGGGAGGTTGAGGCTGTAGTGGGGCCATGATCGCGCCACTGCACTCCAGCCTGGGCAACAGAGCGAGACCCTGCCTCAAAAAAAAAGGACTGTTCAGGTCAGGTGCGGTGGCTCCCACCTGTAATCCTAGCAATTTGGGAGGCTGAGGTGGGTAGATCACCTGAGGTCAGGAGTTCAAGTCTAGCCTGGACAACATGGTGAAACTCCGTCTCAACTAAAAACACAAAAAAATTAGCGGGGCGTGGTGACGGGCACCTGTAATCCCAGCTACTTCGGGAGGCTGAGGCAGGAGAATCGCTTGAACCCGGGAAGCGGAGTTTGCTGTGAGTGGAGATCACGCCATTGAACTCCAGCCTGGGCCGCAAGGGCAAAGCTCTGTCTAAAAAAAAAAAAAAAAAAAAAAATGGACCGTTGTAGCAAGGGACCTAGACAGGAAAGGACGCCAGTGACTCAGGTAGTTGGCGCGTCTGTGTCACTGAGATTGTTTCTGTGTTTCTGTAACCAGTGAGTTCATTTGCAATTAGCGCGTGGGAGGTGCCTGACACAGAGCGTGTGTTGGCGCAACAGGGACTGACTCTTCCCGGCAGAGGGAGCCTTTCAGGCAGGTGCACAAATGCAAACTGCAACCTTCAGGAAAGGCAAAAGCTACCAGCTCAGCTGCCTCACAGGCAGGGCCCTTGAACTCGATTCTGAAAAAAATAAAATGAACATCTGCACCCAGAGCTCTGCAGGGAGCCGCCGCCAGCCTAGCTCCGACCTGGGCTTGCTACGCCTGCACTTGCGCCTGCACCCGAACCCACCCAAGTGCAGCACCAGTGGCCCCAAAGTGGAGTCTCCAGCCGGCAGGCCTGGCCTGTTTGGGCATTTTTTTGTTTGTTTTTTGTTTTTGAGACAGGGTCTCACTGTGTCGCCCGTGCTGGAGTACGGTGGTGTGATCATAGCTCACTGCAACCCTGACCGCCTGGGTTCTTGGAACTGCTTGTCAGCTGTGATCCCGAGTTGCAGGGACATACTTGTCTCCCTGTCTCATGGTGCGGGCCGGGATCGGGTCCGTTTTGCTCTGAGCAACAGCCGGTGCGGTTCCAGGCAATGCCTAGCTCTGGGGAGGGGATGCTGATTGGTCCAGCGGGGAGCCTGTACCCACTGCTGCTCCAATCAGCCATGGCCAGAGGCGGGGCTTCCCCACAGGGGCAGAGCCGTGGGAGGGGTGTCCTCTGGTCCCACAGGTAGCCGGGCATTTTCCACATATCCATCCCACTAACGTGAACTCTCTGGCTGCTGCTTCTCAGGGGAGGCCCTGGGGGCCATCGGGGACCCGGAGGTTCTGGAGCTCCTGAAGCAATATTCCTCGGACCCCGTCATCGAGGTAACCAGGCCCCCGCTTGTTTCCCTGCCAGTCTCGGGTCCCTGGGAAGCCCTAGCCAGCCCTGCCCCAGCCCTGGCCTGGAGCAGCCTCAAACCCTCCCCATCTCTGATTGCCAGGACCACCATTTGGCCAAGGATGCCCCAGGGATGAGGGAGGCGAGGGCAAGAACCCGGACAGACACTTGCTGAGCCCCATTTGGCAAAACGGCGACAACCAGCTTTGCTTACCCGCTTCCATCCTGGGCCTTGAGCCCCTGAGCTGGCCTGACCCCCTTTCTCTGAACCCCCACGTCCAGTCCCTCTGCCAAGACCCCTCTGAACCCACCCAGTGCCCTCTACCTCTGATACCTTGCCCGGGCCCACCAGACCTCTTCAGGGGTCTCTGGCTTCCTTCCAACATTTCTTCTTGTTTTTCAAAATAACAGCTTTATTGCCAGGTGCTATGGCTCACGCCTGTAATCCTAGCACTTTGGGAGGCCAAGGCGGATGGATTACCCAGCCCCGCGTAGCTGGGACTACAGGCGCCCGCCACCTCCCCCAGCTAGTTTTTTGTATTTTTTAGTAGAGACGGGGTTTCACCGTGTTAGCCAGGATGGTCTCAATCTCCTGACCTCATGATCTGCCCGTCTCGGCCTCCCAAAGTGCTGGGATTACAGGCTTGAGCCACCGCGCCCAGCTAGGTTTTGTATTTCTAGTAGAGACGGGGTTTCACCATGTTGGCCAGGCTTTTTTTTTTTCTTTTTTTCTTTTTTTGAGAGAGAGTCTCGCTGCAACGCCCAGGCTGGAGTGCAATGGTGGCACAATCTCCGCTCACTGCAACCTCCGCTTCCTGGGTTCAAGCGATTCTCCTGCCTCAGCCTCCCCAGGAGCTGGGATTACAGGTGCCCGCCACCACGCCTGACTAATTTTTGTGTTTTCAGTAGAGATGGGGTTTCACCATATTGGCCAGGCTGGTCTTGAACCTCTCACCTCAAATGATCTGCCCACCTTGGCCTCCCAAAGTGTTGGGATTACAGGCGTGAGCCACAATACCTGGCCTATTCTTTTATGTTCAGGTGGATCACCTGAGGTCAGGAGTTCGAGACTAGCCTGGCCAAAATAGAGATACCCCGTCTCTACTAAAAATAAAAAAATTAGCCTGGCGAGGTTGCGGGCACCTGTAGCCCTAGCTACTTGGGAGGCTGAGGCAGGAGAATCGCTTGAACCTGGGAGGGGGAGGTTGCAGTGAGCCAAGATCGCACCACTGCACTCCAGCCTGGGCGACACAGCGGGCATAATCTTCTTTATAGTAATACCCATTATAATCAGAGGCTTTGGGAATTGGCTAGTGCCCCTAATAATTGGTGCTCCTGACATGGCATTCCCCTGCATAAATAACATAAGCTGCTGACTCCTTACCCCCTCTCTCTTGCTACTACTCGCATCCGCCATAGTAGAGGCTGGCGCCCAGGACACCTTATCTCTGTAAAGAAAAAAAAATAATGAAACAAATTTTTTTTATTAGTTTTTTCTTTATAGAGGCGAGGTCCCACTCTGTCACCCAGGCTGGTCTGGAACTCCTGGGCTCAAGTGATCCTCCTGCCTTGGTCTCCCTAACTGCTGGGATTATGGGCATGAGCCACTGCCTCCGGCCCCGTCCTTCCTTTCTGTGGCTGAGTCACGTTCCGTGGTGTAGACGGCTCATGCCGTGTCAGTCCACTCACTGTGGCTGATGCTTGGGTTATCTCTATTTTTTAGCCATTATGAGTCACGCCGCCACGGACATGTGTGTGCATGTGTTTGTGTGGACATGCGTGTTCCTTTCTCCCCTGCCACTCGTCCACATCCCACCCTGACCCTCAGTCTTTCCTCCTCCGGGGCAGCAGCGGGTACGTGTGACCCTCAATTCTGCTGTTCTGTTCCATGCTTAAAGCTCTCACCGTGTGTCATCACCTTTAGAACGAAATCCCAAGCCCTCTCCATGGCCCGCAGGCCTTACCTAGTCAGGCTGGGCCCTGCGTGTCCCGTTGGCCCTCACCCCTCCCGCAGGGTCCTGCCTCAGGGCCTTTGCACCTGCTTCCCCATCCCCGGGTCTCCACCTGACTCCCTCCCTAAGCTGGTTGAGGTCTCTGCCTCCACATCACCTCCTCCCTGAGGCCCTCCCCAGCCCTCCAGCTGTCCCCATCACTCACAAGTCAGCCACCCCCGCTGGCTTACCTCCTGCCTGGAAGGATCGGTTAGTTACCCTGCCAGTGGCTCTCTCCCCTGCTAAGCTGCCATCCCGGGGGGAAGGGGAAGGGCCCCCGTGGACCCCCAGGACCAACTGCTGTCTGCGTACTCCCTCCCCGCAGGTGGCCGAGACCTGCCAGCTGGCTGTGCGCAGGCTGGAGTGGCTGCAGCAGCACGGCGGGGAGCCGACGGCAGGACCCTACCTCTCCGTGGACCCTGCCCCGCCGGCTGAGGAGCGTGACGTGGGGCGCCTGCGGGAGGCGCTGCTGGACGAGTCCCGGCCGCTCTTCGAGCGATACCGCGCCATGTTCGCCCTGCGCAACGCGGGAGGCGAGGAGGCCGCCCTGGCGCTGGCCGAGGGTGAGGAGGGGCTCCTCGGGTGGGGTCCTGGGCAGTGCCTCGCTGTGAGGTTCAGTGATGGCATCTGTGCAGTGGGACCGCTGCCTGCCCCAGGGAACGGCGTACCGGGCCTGGCCCCAAGCATTTCCCATGGGGCCTGTTAAGAACCCGTGCGAGCGTCCCTGGGTCCCCACACCTCCCAGCTCTTCCCGCCCCCATAGCTGCGGTCAGTTCCCCTGGACAGCCCTAATCACTGGGGCTGCGGGAGGGGCGTCCTCAAGATAGAGCACTCCAGGTTGGGCATGGTACCTCACGCCTGTCGTCCCAGCACTTTGGGAGACTGAGGTGGGAAGATCGCCAGGACTTTGGGACCTGCCTGGGCAACATAGCAAGACCCCATGTCTTAAGAAAAGACAGAGCTCCCCTTCCCACCTCTCCTGGCCCCAGCGAGTGCCCCTCTCCCCTGCAGGCCTGCACTGTGGGAGCGCCCTCTTCCGCCACGAGGTCGGCTACGTCCTGGGACAGCTGCAGCATGAGGCGGCGGTGCCCCAGTTGGCAGCTGCCCTGGCCCGGTGCGCCGAGAACCCCATGGTGCGGCACGAGTGCGCGGAGGCCCTGGGCGCCATCGCCCGGCCCGCCTGCCTGGCCGCGCTGCAGGCTCACGCGGACGACCCAGAGCGCGTGGTGCGTGAGAGCTGCGAGGTGGCTCTGGACATGTATGAGCACGAGACCGGGCGAGCCTTCCAGTACGCGGACGGCCTGGAGCAGCTACACGGGGCCCCCTCCTAGGGCCCCGCCCTCACCTGGGGCTCCCTGAGGATTCTTGAGGGCCGCTCCTCCCCCGCAGGGCTTTGGCGTCTAAACTGAGTGTGTGTGTGAATCGGTGTCATCGCTTGTGTCTTGCTGGGTGCACGGTTGCTGTCCTTCTCTGGGACCCAGGAGCTGCCTTTGTGCTGTGACTCCCTGAGTCCACTGGCAGCTCCCCGGGGCCTAGCGCAGGGCTGTAGGGTGGAAGTTTCCAGGTTCAGGGGTGGGACTCTGCGGGAGGCTCTGGGATGCCCGGCTCAGGACAGGGGAGGATTGCCAGGGAAGCCAGGGGCAGAGCTGGAGCTCTTGGAAGAGGCTGGCATTATGGTGGCTTCAGTTTCACTAGGAATGAGGCCCAGGGTCTGGGGGCCTCTGACTCCCCCACCCCCAGGCCTGGGCAGGGATGGGGTGGTGGTCCCTGAGTGGGTCAGGTGGGGCACAGCGGCCAGGGAGGGACAAGCAGACCCCACAGCGCTGCCCAGATGGAATATTAAATTATTTTTGCCAAACATTGACTCCTGAGTGTGTTGGGTGAGGGGAGCGTGGGAGGGAGGGAGAGGTGGGGGCTTTCGGGAAACGTTGCCCAAGAGCGTGTGCCCAGCCAACTCCCTCCAAGGGGGCTCTGGGGAAACCGCCCTCCAGCCTGGCCCTTCCCGGACCCCCATCTTCTCCCAGCTCCTCCGTGTGTGGCCAGGGACAGCCCACTTACCTCTCTGTAAAATGGGCATAGCCGTAGAATCACAGGTGCACAGCTCCTGGTCTGCAGCCAGAGAAGCCAAAACCAGAAGACAGGCGGCCAAACGCGACGGGAACCGACTGTCCACTGAGCAGTGTTCTCCACCGGAGCGCTCCATCCTGCCCGCGGGTGTCAGTTTTGCTTGTCATGGGGTGGGGGGGGGGCGCGGTGTGCAGCTGGCGTCTAGTCAGAGTCGGGGGAGGCCAGTGATGCTGGAAGACACCCTCCAGCACTCAGTCTCCACAACAGAGAATGATCCAGCCCCAAATGAGTGCAGAGGTTGAGACACCTGCCTGAAAGTCACGTGTTTGATTATAGGTTTTTAATTTTAATTTATTTTATTATTATTTTTGTTGAGATGGGATTTCACTCGTTACCCAGGATGGAGTGCAATGGTGCGATCTCGGTTCATTGCAACCTCCACCTGCCAGGCTCAAGCATTTCTCCTGCCTCAGCCTAACAAGTAACTGGGATTATAGGCATGCACCATCACGCCCAGCTAAATTTTTTTTTGTTTGTATTTTTTTTTTTTTTTTTTGAGATGGAGTCTCGCTCTGTCACCAGGCTGGAGTGCAGTGGCGCGATCTCGGCTCACTGCAAGCTCCGCCTCCCGGGTTCACACCATTCTCCTGCCTCAGCCTCCTGAGTAGCTGGGACTACAGGCGCACACTGCCACACCTGGCTAATTTTTTGTATCTTTAGTAGACACGGGTTTCATCATGTTAGCCAGGATGGTCTCAATCTCCTGACCATGATCCGCCTGCCTCAGCCTCCCAAAGTGCTGGGATTACAGGCGTGAGCCACCACGCCCAGCCTTTTTTTTTTTTTCTCCCTCCCCTGGAGATGGAGTCTTGCTCTGTCGCCCAGGCTGGAGTGCATTGGCGCGATCTCAGCTCTCCTCAACCTCTGCCTCCCAGCTGCAAGCAACTCTCCTGCCTCAGCCTCCCAAGTAACTGGGATTACAGGCATTTGCCACCATGCATGCCCCGCTAATTTTTGTATTCTTAGTAGAGATGAGGTTTCACCATGTTGGCCAGGCTAGTCTTGAACTCTTGACCTTGTGATCTGCCCACCTCAGCCTCCCAAAGTGCTGGAATTACAGGCGTGAGCCACTGCGCTTGGCCCATCTTTTTTTTTTTTTTTTTTTTAAATGGAGAGGGTCTCGCTCTGTCTCCTAGGCTGTAGTGCAGTGGTGGATCACTGCAGCTCACTGTAGCCTCGACCTTCTGGGCTCAAACGATCCTCCTATCTTGGCCTCCCAAGCAGTTGGGACCTCAGGTTTGCCCTACTATGCCTGACTAATTTTTGTATTTTTTGTAGAGACGGGGTCTCAATATGTTTTGTTTTGTTCTGTTTTTTTTTTTTTTTTTTTAAATATATATATTTTTTGAGGCAGAGTTTTGCTGTTTTCCAGGCTGGAGTGTAGAGGCATGATCTCGGCTCACTCACTGCAAGCTCTGCCTCCCGGGTTCACGCCATTCTCCTGCATCAGCCTCCCAAGTAGCTGGGACCACAGGCGCCGCCACCACGCCCGGCTAATTTTTTGTATTTTTAGTAGAGACGAGATTTCACCGTGTTAGCCACGATGGTCTCGATCTCCTGATGGTCTCGATCTCCTGACCTTATGATCTACCGGCCTCGGCCTCCCAAAGTGCTGGGATTACAGGTGTGAGCCACCACGCCCGGCCTGTTTTGTTCTGTTTTGAGACAGGGTCTCACTCTGTTGCCTAGGCTGGAGTGCGGTGGTACAGTCTCGGCTCATTACACCCTCTGCCTCTCAGGTTTAAGCGATTCTCCTGCCTCAGCCTCCTGAGTAGCTGGGATTACAGGCACATGCCACCACACCTGGCTAATTTTTATATTTTTAGTAGAGACAGGGTTTTACCATGTTGGCCAGGCTGGTCTCGAACTCCTGGCCTCAAATGATCTGTCCTCCTCAGCCTCCCATAAGTGCTGGGATTACAGACATGAGCCACGTGCCTGGCCATCTTGTTTATGTTTTAGAGACAGAGTGTTGCTCTGTTGCCCAGGCTGGAGTGCAGTGGCTTGATCTAAGCTCACTGCAACTTCTGCCTCCCAGGCTCAAGTGATCCTCCCACGTCAGCCTCCTGAGCAGCCAGCATCCATTCTACTGTGGTTCCGTGAGGTTCTCTCTCTTGCCATCTGTCCTCTCTGTCACTTTCTTGTTGACCTCCAACCTCCCTCATCCTCACTCAGCTGATGACCTTGCTTTCGCCTTCGGTGAGAAAATCAAACAGACGTTCCGTGCACCCCCACCAACAGCTGTGCCCACCTGCCTGCCCCCGTGCCGGGCACGCTGCCTCCCCTCCTGCCCGCTAATGCTGCTTGGTGAACTGTTGGTTCTGCTAGCCAAGACTTACTTAAGATCCTTATGGCCGTACAACAAATTCCTCCAAACTTAGCAACTTCAAACAGCTGGACTTGGGTCGAATCGTGTCCCCCCAAAAGACTTGCCAAGGTGGTAACCCCTGGTACCCATAAGTGTGACGTGATTTGGAAATAGAGTCTTTGCAGATGTTCTTAAAGATCTCAGCATGAAATTGTCTTGGATTTAAAGTAGACCCTAAATCCAATGACCAGTGTCCTTATAGAGACAGAGAAGTAGACCTGAGCGCGGTGGCACATGCCTACAGTCCCAGCTACTCTAGAGGCCAAGGCAGGATCTCTTATGCCCAGGAGTTCAAGACCAGCATGGGCACCATAGTGAGACCCCCATCTCCTAAACAACAACAACAACAAAAGACAAGGCCAGAGGCAGTGGCTCACACCTGTAATCCCAGCACTTTGGGAGGCAAAGGCAGGTGGATCACCTGAGGTCAGGAGTTCGAGACCAGCCTGGCCAACATGGTGAAACCCCATCTCTACTAAAAATACAAAAATTAGCTGGGCTTGGTGGTGCACGCCTCTAATCCCAACTACTCAGGAGGCCGAGGCAGGAGAATCACTTGAACCCAAGAGGCAGAGGTTGCAGTGAGCTGAAATTGTGCACCATTGCACTCCAGCCTGGGCAACAAGAGCAATACTCCATCTTAAAAAAAAAAAAAAAAAAAAAGACAAGAAAACCCCCAGAGATAGAGGAAAGAAGACAGATACCTTTCCTGTGGGTCAGGAGTCTGGGAGCAGCTTCTCTGGATGTTTCTGGCTTTGCGTGTTTCGTGAGGTTGCAGTCAAGCTTTCGGCCAGGGCTGCCTCATCTGAAGGCTTGACTGGGAGCGAAGGAGCCACTTCCAAGGTAGTGCCTTCCCATGTGACATTGGCTGCCTGAGCTACCTCTTTTGCTCACCAACTCCTGGTCCTTCTCATCAACTCACAGCCGTCACTTCAGCCATTCCCCCTTTCCTCTCCTGCCTCGTTGGTTTCCTCTCTTTACGCATCAGCACAGACCAGCTGTAATTTTTTAAAACAACAAGAAAAAGCTGCACACAGTGGCTCACACCTGTAATCCCAGCGTTTTGTGAGGCTGATCTACCTCACTTGAGTTAGATCACTTGAGGTCAGGAGTTAGAGACCAGCCTGTCCAACATGGTGCAAAAAATACAGACATTACCTGGGCATGGTGGCACACGCTTGTAGTCCCAGCTACCTGGAAGGCTGAGGCATGAGAATTGCTTAAACCTGGGAAGTGGAGTTTGCAATGAGCTGAGATCGCCCCACTGCACTCCAGCCTGGACAACAGAGGGAGACTGAGCCTTAAAACAACAACAACAACAACAACAACAAAACCCTGGAAAGTAGTCCCAGCTACTTGGGAGGCTGAGGCAGGAGAACTGCTTGAAGCTGGGAGGTGGAGGTTGCAGTGAACAGAGATCATACCACTGCACTCCAGCCTGGGTGACACCACCAGACTCTGTCTCAAAAGCAAACAAACAAAGCCGGGTGCAGTGGCTCAAGCCTGTAATCCCAGCACTTTGGGAGGCCGAGACGGGCGGATCACGAGGTCAGGAGATCAAGACCATCCTGGCTAACATGGTGAAACCCCGTCTCTACTAAAAAATACAAAAAAACTAGCCGGGTGGGGGGTGGCGCCTGTAGTCCCAGCTACTCGGGAGGCTGAGGCAGGAGAATGGCGTAAACCCGGGAGGCGGAGCTTGCAGTGAGCTGAGATCCAGCCACTTTACTCCAGCCTGGGCGGCAGAGCGAGACTCCGTCTCAAAGAAAAAAAGCAAACAAACAAAACTCAAATATAATAAAAAGCCGCCCCCTTTTTTGTAGAGACAAGATCTAGCTCTGTCACCCAGGCTGGAGTACAGTGGCACAATCTTAGCTCACTGCAGCCTCCAACTCCTGGGCTTAAGCAATCTTCCTGCCTCAGCTTCCCAAGTCCCTGGGACTACAGACATGAGCCACTGTGCCTGGCAAGGGTCACACTTTTTTTGTTTTGTTTTGTTTTGTTTTTGAGATGGAGTCTTGCTCTGTCACTCAGGCTGGAGTGCAGTGGCGCGATCTCGGCTCACTGCAACCTCCGCCTCCTGGGTTCAAGCAATTCTCCTGCCTCAGCCTCCTGAGTAGCTGGGATTATAAGCGCGTGCCACCACGCTTGGCTAATTTTTGTATTTTTAGTAGAGATGGGGTTGCATCACGTTGGTCAGGCTGGTCTTGAACTCCTGACCTCATGATCAGCTTTCCTCGGCCTCCCAAAGTGCTGGGATTACAGATGTGAGCCACCGCGCCCGGGAATGCTCACACAGTTCTCCACATCGTTGCATCTCCTCCTTTCAAAACCCCAGGAGACTTTACCCACCCCATTGTAGA